GGTTTCCAGGACTCAACTAAGATAGGCTATGAAGAAGTGGCCCAGGTAAAAGCAGCTCCTTAAAGGAACATAGCACATTGCTACTACTTAGAGGGTCCTTGGGCTGGGACCCAGAGTAGTGGGTGGATCTGAGTGAGGGCCCCCCAATGGCCATTGGGGATGTGGCTGTGCCTGAGAGAAGGGTATAGACAGTCCCAAAAAAGGGACTTGATGCAGAACTGTTACCCCTGGAAGGGGGCAGAACTGAGAATGAGCCAGCTGGAGAGCTGAGGTCAGGGGACAAAAAGGCAACTGAAGAGCCTTCAGGGAAGAAGGCCTGGAGGGGGGAGGTGCTGCTCCACCTCAGAGCAGGAAATTTCATATGTAAGTTGTCAACTAGGGTACTGAAATAGGCCCCATTGGTCAGACAGAGGACTGGAGCCCAGAGAGGGCTATAGAGATCTTTCCAACAAAGGGATACCGTGATGGGCCCTGTTGGACTGTGAAGGGACTAAGCGAAGGAAGGACTGCAGAACATTACTGAACGGTTGAGATAGGGCTGGTTGGACAGTGCTCTCCAGAAAGGGTTTGTTTTGTTTGCACACGGACTGTAGGTGAGTCTGCTGGAGAGCTCAGTCACCAAAGGCCCGGCTTGCAAATGCAGTAGTTGATGGGGGACACTGTGAGATAAGAAATCGAAAAACCTGTAGGCATGCACAGGCTTGATCAGGGCAGTGGTCATGAAAGGTGGGTCCCACCTCATTATGGGAAGCTTATATCACTGCTGTACTTTTTCTACAGCCAAAGAGAAGATGTTGCTATTTCAGGCTGCAAATCCAGCAATTCTAATGAAAACAAAATTATCTTTAAGTATCGATACACATTTGATATCAGGAGACTATTTTAGCAATGGCTCTTGTTCAACTACAACTTCTGTTACTGGAAGTCTGAGCAAAACTCAGCTCTTGTTCCCATTGGCCTCAATGTAAGTTGCACTTGCATGGTTAAATCTGGCCTTCCAAGGTTTTAGGAAGACAAGTTTGAGGTCAGATCTATTTTAGCTTCAGACGAGTACAGATTTTAAATGGAAAGTTGTCTTCTTGTTCTTTCTGTTGTGACTACTGATCCTATTAAACCTAACTTAAAAGAAGAATGTTTTAAGTCCCTTTATGACTTTGGGCAGTGATGAATTACAGACAACTTTGTGGAGTGAGCCAGTCACGTCACAAAAACTTTTCATGCAGAAAAAATGATTAGTGCATAGAATCAGCTGACGGATTCAACAGCAGACATAAGAGGTTATTGGAAATATGATAAATGGACTTAGATAATGTGAAATGGGTTGATCTGAAGCCGTCTGGCTTTTTGGGGTCAAGACATGATGAAACAAACTCCTTCTTCAGTTCCTCTGCCTACACAATTGTATGATTAAAATCCTAGAAAAGGTCAGGCCATTATTTTCAGCAGACCCAGAAATAGCAATCTGTGTGTATGTTAATTAGAGAGAATTTTTTAAAAGAAACCACTAAAGATTCCTTTGTTAGTGCTACCTGGCTCATCCTCTGGCTGCCGACCAATAAGTGAAATAATATACAGCCAGTCCCCGAGTTGCGAACGGTCAACTTATTACCATTCGCATTTATGACTGAAGCTGTCGTAAATGGCAGACCCCGAATTACGAACGTGATCTGCGCTTACGAACAGTGCGGTCGCGTGTAACTCTATGGGGTCCGACTTATGAACAAACCAAGTTATGACCAATTGCTTCGTCCGTAACCAGTTCGTAAGTCGGGAAGAGGCTGTAGTAATACCTGAAGTAAGAGGGCATGAGACAATAACCTATATTGCACAGAGCTGATCTGAGGTCTGAGGCCTAGCTAAAAATGAACAATACGTGGCTAAAGGAACGTTAAGCAGGAAACAACCTTGTTTGTTTAACCAGGCATAAACAAGCTGAGATAGCACAACCTCAGGTGGAGAGCAGTAAATGGGGGCTTATCAGGAGTTATAGGCACATAACTCACTGAGATGGGCCTCGAAGTCCGCTTCTCAGTTCAGGAAAAGGGTCTAAGCTAATAGCTTGATGTTTACAGTCTGTAAATGGCCTAGGGGGGAAAATAGAAGTGTTTCACTGTTGTGAGCCATTCCATTATTACGTGGTACAAATGCATAGTGGTTCAGTAGAGTCTATTGACAACTATTAATGTACAGGCAATCCCCGACTTACGCCGATCCGACTTATGTCAGATCCGCACTTACGAACGGGGCTTTCTCGCCCTGGAGCTCGCAGGCAGCGGGACCACCCAGAGCGCAGCGGTCCCACCACCTCGACCTCCGGGGCGAGAAAAGCTGCTCCGGGTGCCCCTGGTCTGCTGGGGACCGTCTCCAGCAGACCAGGGACACCGGAAGCAAAGCCGCAGTGGTGGCGGGGTGCCGCGCCTCTGAGGCTTT